CTACTTGGGAGGCTGAGGCAGGAGACTTGCTTGAGCCCAGGAGTTGGAGGTTGCTGTGAACTGTGATGCCACAGCACTCTACCCAGGGGGATAGCTTGAGGCTCTGTCTCAAAAAAACAAAAAAGAAAAATACTGTTAATATAGGGTATATTATTATTATTCCCATTTTACAGTTAAAGAAACTGAGGCAGACATTACACTCAAATTCCATTAGCCAGCACCTAGCTTTTACCTTTTGTGCATTCTTAGTCTTTTATCTTTTATTTCCTTTTAAAAATATAGTTGAGGTCTTGCTATGATTTGGATTCTATTCCCATAGAACCCCTCTGTAAGAATATCTTTCTTACATAATTATGTTACTAAAAGTTAATTGGGACTGGCATGCCGGTAATCCTAGCACTCTGGGAGGCTGAGGCAGGTAGATTGCTTGAGCTCAGGAGTTCAAAACCAGTCTGAGCAAAAGAGTGAGACCCCATCTCTACTAAAAATAGAAAAACTGAATCAAGAGAATTGCTTGAGCCCAGGAATTGGAGGTTGCTATAAGCCATGACACCATTCTACCGAGGGCAGAAAAGTGAGACTCTGTCTAAAAAATATATGTATATATTTTGGAGGTTGCTGTGAGCTGTGATGCCATGGAACTCTACCCAGGGGGACAGCTTGAGGCTCTGTCTCAAAAATAAAAAAATAAAAATAAATAAATAGAAGTAATTGGTAATAGTAATTGTGTAGAATTATAGGTTCTTTACCTTCTAAAATACTTGTAATATAACTATTACTATAATAATTTTCAAATAAATGTGAAGATGCAGAAATATGAAAAGATCTTTTATCAGTCAACATGGTAAGATATAAAATGATAAGAGATATTTAGATTCTGCGACCATTGCTCAGTGGTTAGGGTGCCCGTCACATATACCGGAGCTTGCAGATTCAAACGGCCTGGGCCTGCTAAACAACATGACAACTGCGACAAAAAAAAAAAAAATAGCTGGGTGTTGTGGTGGGCACCTATAGTCCCAGATACTTGGGAGGCTGAGGCAAGAGAATCACTTAAGCCCAAAAGTTAGAGGTTGCTGTGAGCTGTGACTCCACGGTACTCTACCAAGCACAACATAGCGAGGCTCTGTCCCCCCCAAAAAAGAGATATTTAGCTATAGGTATATGAAATACATATATATGATGCAAAAATGGAATTAAGGTGGTAGGACTGGGATGGAAAAGAATTTAATTTTTAAAAAAATCAAGAAAGTAGTTGGGGGCTCGGTGCCTGTAGCTCAAGCAGCTAAGGTGCCAACCATATACACCAGAGCTGGCGGGTTGGAATCCAGCCCGCACCTGCCAATCAACAATGACAACTACAGCCAAAAAATAGCCAGGCGTTGTGGTGGGCACTTGTAGTCTCAGCTACTTCAGAGACTGAGGCAAGAGAATCACTTAAGCCCAGGAGTTTGAGGTTGCTGTGAGCCTTGACTCCACAGAACTCTACCCAGGGTGACAGCTTGAGATTCTTTCTCAAAAAAAAAAGATAGTAGGGAATTCCTGCCCCTCTTGCCACTTAAAAACAGCATGAGAGGGGTGGCGCCTGTGGCTCAAAGGAGTAGGGTGCCGGCCCCATATGCCAGAGGTGTCGGGTTCAAATACAGCCCCAGCGAAAAACAGCATGACAGGCCAGACATAGTGGCTCATGCCTATAATCCCAGCACTTGAGAGGCCGAGGTGGGTGAATTGCCTGCTTCCACAGGTTCGAGACCAGCCCGAGCCAGAGTGAGACTCTGTCCCTAAAAGATAGCAGGGTGTTGTGGCAGGCACCTATAGTCCCAGCTACTTGGGAGACTGAGGCAAGAGGATCATTTGAACCCAAGAGTTTGAGGCTGCTGCGCTAAGATGCCAGGGCACTCTACTAGTGGTGACTAAGTGAAACTCTGTCTCAAAAAAAAAAAAAGAAAAAAATAGCATGAGAGATAATCATGTCCGTAAATACAGTAATTGGTATACAGAAAATACATTTTGACAAATTAAAAGTATAGTTAATTGAATTTGAAAATATTCTGTTTAGATGAAGATTATGGAAGAGATTCGGGCCCTCCAGCTAAGAAAATTCGATCATCTCCCCGGGAAGCTAAAAACAAGAGGCGATCTGGGAAGAATTCACAAGAAGATAGGTAAGTGGCATTGTGTTTCTGTTCCTGCTTACACTGTCACCACTCTGAGATGAAGGCATCCTCTGGTCTTTGAGTTGCTGGAATTTTCACATACTTTTCTAGAAAGTATTGAGGGTCTACTTAATATTTAGCCTATTTCACATTATCTCAGGCTGTGCTTAAGTATGTAATTTGTGGCGGCGCCTGTGGCTCAAGGAGTAGGGTACAGGCCCCATATACTGGGGGTGGCGGATTCAAGCCCGGCCCCAGCCAAAACTACAAAAAATAAACAAATAAATAAAGCATATAATTTGTTATGTCAGGTTACTATTGACACTTTTATTATCTTGGTAACAGTATAAGTTGTGTCCCATTCAGTCACATATTAATAGGAGAATTATAACTAAAGCTTATAGAATCTTTTAATGTGTATAGCCTGCTGAGTTTTACTGTATCATAATCAATTTTCCTTTGTTTCTTTTCCCTTAATTTTACAAACTTCATGTGAGTGATAATTTTACCTCTAATTTACATCATAATACCAGGACATTGTAACTTCACATCTTGCTTTTAAAGGTATACACACATATTCTCACATTTAGTGTAGGGTAAGTTAAGACCTCCTTAATGATGATGAATAATGGCTATCATTTATGAATGTTATGTGCCAGTCTCTATTATGTGTTTTACATAAAGTATCACTTAATGCTCACAATTTATCTATTAGAGTAAATAATACTAACTTAGAAAAATTCAGGGCTCGGCGCCTGTGGCTTAAGTGGCTAAGGTGCCGGCCACATACACCTAAGGTGGTGGGTTCGAATCCAGCCCAGACCCACCAAACAACGATGACGGCTGCAACCAAAAAATGGCTGGGTGTGGTGGCAGGCGCCTGTGGTCCCAGCTACTTGGGAGGCTGAGACAAGAGACTCGCTTGAGCCCAGGAGTTGGAGGTTGCTATGAGCTGTGAAGCCACGGCATTCTACCCAGGGGGATAGCTTGAGGCTCTGTCTCAAAAAAAAAAAAAGAAAAAGAAAAATTCAGTGATTTAACCAAAGGTCTGTTCATTTACCCAGCAAATGAACAAACAGATTTTGAGTTTTGAATTCATGTCTGTTGGACTCCAAGGTCTATTGTTTTAATTTAATTTAATTTTTAAATTTAATTTTGAGACAAAATCTTGCTGTGTACCCCAGGGGGTCTTGAACTCCTGGGTTCAAACAATCCTCCTGCCTCAGCCTCCCACGTAGCTGGAATTACAGGTGTACACCACTGTGCCTAACTCCCAAACTCCATTTTTTAACCATTAAGCTACACCACTTCCAAATAATACGATTATGGAAGAGCAGTCCAAAGAAATGAAGTAGTATTTCTCGCTAGTTCTTCTAAGACCTTTGGATTGCTAAAATCACTATTATCAATCACTATTAACATGCATTTACCTAGTCGTTTCCTTATTTCTTAGGGTGTTTGTTTAGATAGAGTCTCACTCTGTTGCCCAAGCTAAAGTACCTTAGCATCAGCCTAGCTCCCAGCAACCTCAAACTTGTGGGTTCAAGCAGTCTTCCTACCTCAGCCTCCCAAGTAGTTGGGACTACTAGTAGAAAAGGGTTTCACTCTTAGCCAGGCGTTGTGGCAGGCATCTATAGTCCCAGCTACTCAGGAGGCTGAGGCAAGAGAATTTTCTAAGCCCAGGAGTTGAAGGTTGCTGTGAGCTGTGTGATGCCACCGCACTCTACCCAGGGCGATAAAGTGAGACTCTGTCTCAAAAAAAAGAGAAAAGGGTTTCACTCTTGCTCAGGCTGCTCTTGAACTCCTGAGCTCAAGTGATCCTCCATCTTGGCTTCCCAGAGTGCTAAGATTACAGGTGTGAGCCTTCATGCCTGGCTACCTAGTATTTTTTGTTTGCTTCTATAGCTAACCTCTAATGTTTACTTTGCTGGAGAATTTTAGAAACATACTTTTCAGGAAAAATAATACAAAATTATGCTGTTGGTAAACAAGTCTTATAGAGTTTCATAGTATATCCCTAAAACAGTTTTATATAGCAGCACCAGTACAGAACTGTTGTTCATTACATTCCATTATTTTATTTCTCCTAGGAATAAGCTGCTTCATGGACTTTCTTTTTTAATATGCCTCATCAATGTAATTAATATCTAGCCTAAATATTTTGATTTTATTATTCTAAGTATCAAGAATGATTACGATAGGGGGCACCTATAGCTAGTGGTTAAGGCACTGGCCACATACACCGGAATTGGTGAGTTTGAATCCGGCCTGGGCTTGCTAAACAAACAAACAAAAAAAAAATAGCTGGGCGTTGTGGCAGGTGCCTGTAGTCCCAGCTACTAGGGAGGCTGAGGCAAGAGAATTGCTTGAGCCCAAGAGTTGGAGCTTCCT